GTTTATCCTAGACATTTCCACGTCACAATAACAACACTTACAGTTGACCGGGGCAGCTCTAGCAGAAAATACACTGCTCAAAAAAATAAAGGGAACACTTAAACAACACAATGTAACTCCAAGTCAATCACACTTCTGTGAAATCAAACTGTCCACTTAGGAAGCAACACTGATTGACAATAAATTTCACATGCTGTTGTGCAAATGGAATAGACAACAGGTGGAAATTATAGGCAATTAGCAAGACACCCCCAATAAAGAAGTGGTTCTGCAGGTGGTGACCACAGACCACTTCTCAGTTCCTATACTTCCTGGCTGATGTTTTGGTCACTTTTGAATGCTGGCGGTGCTTTCACTCTAGTGGTAGCATGAGACGGAGTCTACAACCCACACAAGTGGCTCAGGTAGTGCAGCTCATCCAGGATGGCACATCAATGCGAGCTGTGGCAAGAAGGTTTGCTGTGTCTGTCAGCATAGTGTCCAGAGCATGGAGGCGCTACCATGAGACAGGCCAGTACATCAGGAGACGTGGAGGAGGCCGTAGGAGGGCAACAACCCAGCAGCAGGACCGCTACCTCCGCCTTTGTGCAAGGAGGAGCAGGAGGAGCACTGCCAGAGCCCTGCAAAATGACCTCCAGCAGGCCACAAATGTGCATGTGTCTGCTCAAACGGTCAGAAACAGACTCCTGAGGGTGGTATGAGGGCCCGACGTCCACAGGTGGGGATTGTGCTTACAGCCCAACACCGTGCAGGACGTTTGGCATTTGCCAGAGAACACCAAGATTGGCAAATTCGCCACTGGCGACCTGTGCTCTTCACAGATGAAAGCAGGTTCACACTGAGCACATGTGACAGAGTCTGGAGACGCCGTGGAGAACGTTCTGTTGCCTGCAACATCCTCCAGCATGACAGGTTTGGCGGTGGGTCAGTCATGGTGTGGGGTGGCATTTCTTTGGGGGGCCGCATAGCCTTCCATGTGCTCGCCAGAGGTAGCCTGACTGCCATTAGGTACCGAGATGAGATCCTCAGACCCCTTGTGAGACCATATGCTGGTGCGGTTGGCCCTGGGTTCCTCCTAATGCAAGACCTCATGTGGCTGGAGTGTGTCAGCAGTTCCTGCAAGAGGAAGGCGTTGATGCTATGGACCGCCCGTTCCCCAGACCTGAATCCAATTGAGCACATCTGGGACATCATGTCTCGCTCCATCCACCAACGCCACTTTGCACCACAGACTGTCCAGGAGTTGGCGGATGCTGTAGTCCAGGTCTGGGAGGAGATCCCTCAGGCGACCATCTGCCACCTCATCAGGAGCATGCCCAGGCGTTGTAGGGAGGTCATACAGGCACGTGGAGGCCACACACACTACTGAGCCTCATTTTGACTTGTTTTAAGGACATTACATCAAAGTTGGATCAGCCTGTAGTGTGGTTTTCCACTTTAATTTTGAGGGTGACTCCAAATCCAGACCTCCATGGGTTGATACATTTGATTTCCATTGATCATTTTTGTGTGATTTTGTTGTCAGCACATTCAACTATGTAAAGAAGAAAAGTATTTAATAAGATTATTTCATTCATTCAGATCTAGGATGTGTTGTTTAAGTGTTCCCTTTATTTTTTTGAGCAGTGTATATTTGACAACTGACTTGTTGGAGAGGTGGCATACTATGACGGTGCCACGTTGAAAGTCACTGATCTCTTCAGTACAGCCGATTCTACTGCCAATGTTTGTCTACGGAGGTTGCATGGCTGTGTGCTTGTCAGCAACGGGTGTGGCTGAAATAGCCGAATCCACTAATTTGAATGGGTGTCCACATACATTTGGCCATGTAGTGTATTTGACCCAGGTCAGGCTTAAATCTCAATTTGAGTGTATTTCCACTACGTAGAGTCCTATAACCTAATATCTAACCAGATATCTTCCTCTTCATCCATCTGTCTGTGATCTCAGGAGGGCTTTGTCATACCGGATGCTGAGTCAGAGGACCAGGAGGAATTCTAACATTCAAGACTGGATCATGGAACTTTTAATACAACCCCTCAACCCACCAAACCCCTTCAATCAGCTACAACAGCTCCCATCCTCGAACTACGTTTCACCCCCACCAAAAAACGGATCATGTTATGCATTGTGTGGTCTCTGAATGGACTGTATTTAAAACATGTTTTTTTTGGTCTGTAAAATCAAGTTGAAATAAGTCAAGTGTGTGAAGTACCTACTCCTCTTCTGAAATCACTTCTCCCGTTCGTCCCATTGGTCCATATAAACATAGTGTTGGAAGATGGCAGCCATTTTGGCTCTTTTTGGGTCCAGATGAGTGATCTTGTCCATCTGTAAGATTACACTTTTTGTGTTTTGTTGGTCTTTCCCCTCAATTTCTGTCTGTTCCGGGAATTGGAGTTACAAGTTCATTGGAACCTGCACTCACTTTTGTACATTATATTTTACTAGTTTCCTAAATTATCACTGTCTTTGCCACATGTATATTGTTTTCTGGGTCTGAGAAAATTCCCTTTGTCTGAGTTCCTACTTAATGTAGTGATTGTGGGACATTTATTTTCTTCACTAACCACAACTGTTCATATCCCCCAAACCTAGTTGTTTTCACTTCTTTCATTTGGTCTCCTCTTGTTTGGAGATTAACCTTTTTTTAAATGGTGCAATTCTTTATTCCAGGAAAGTGGAGTTTTTTCTTAACGATACAGCCCAACGTCTCTTAATGTGGCTGCAATTCTCGGACAGCTCATAACAACCTGACAATAGTTATGAAGAAACATGTTAGAAACTACAAGCTTATGGTAGAATACTTTGTGCGTGATTTATGTGTTTTGTTTGTCTCTTGGATGTTGGAAGGCATGGGCACTGTGGATGCTTGAAACTCTCTGGTCCCAAGCGCATCCCAAATTACCTGCTCTGGTTTTTTGGCATTTCTCCCAGTCTAAAATTCTTCAGTTGGCAGGGGATCAAGGTTTTAACTTGATTTAGCGCCTCTAGTGTCTAATGCATCTTCTTAGGGAATGCAAAAGGTGACTGTGATGTTTTTCTTTCTGTTTTCTACCTTCTCCATTTGTTTCTTGAACTCCTGGTTCTGTGGCATGTTTTAACACACTCCTGTCTTGCGTTTGAATCTGTTTTGATTATGTAGCCACTGCACCATTGACAGGTTCTAGGCCCAAAACGCTGATACGCAAATAAAACTGTCAGTCTCTGCGCCAGAAGATCCAAGATCTTATAGGTTTTATGAATTGCCTTATTCTTATATGCATTTTTTCTTATACTTTTCATAACCTACATATGTGACTTTGATGTACTCTCTTTTTGGCAAATATTTGTAATACGTTTTAAAGGATTGTCATTTTAGCTCTTATTGTTTTTTTTCTTTCTGCTGCTCTGAAATAGACTTCTAGAGAATCTGGCGGAAGCTTGGGTATTTAAGCTGTTGAATAGATTTTTGTTCTTTCAGTTAATACAATGCTCTGACAAAGGCCAATTACATTTTTATATAATTGATGGTTCATTGAAGTGTTCTGAACCTATTGGTGTACTTAATGTAACTGGTGCCACCCAACTGTTGGCTGAAATGCCCTCCTAGAAATGACCTTTCCGATAATTAGGAGTACATAACAGGGGCCCTTTCTAGGCCTTAGAATCTAATAGATACTGACAGGGCAATGAAGGAAGTTTGAATGTCATGCAAAAACCTTACTAAATGGGGATGCCTGGTTGTAATATTATAATTATTTATTTTTTCTATTAAGATTTGGTCCTCGTTGCATTCTTCAGGACCCCAACCTTATTTCATTTGTCAACTTTTTGGGATTACCACGTCCAAAACAGTTTTCCAAAATGTATTGGGACATGAATGTGTATATTTGACACATTGAATCATTGTGACTGTTTATCCTTGTTAACTATGTTGAGTCCAGAAATTAGTGATATTGGCTTGAAGGTTTAAAAACGTAACTGTCTTGTTTGAATCTAGCTTGTTATTTGATGACTAAACTAGCCTGGTGGCTGATTTAGTGGGTATTTGGGTCTTGCCAAGACAAATCTTAACACTGGTTGCGTTCCAGGCAGACTACATTCGAAGTGTTGCATTGCTTCAACCAATGGCTGTGTGCAACGTCATCGAATGCGCAGTCTGGTATCAGTTTTCTATGTCATATGATGTGGTTTGCTGATATTAAACACCTATCCAGGAGTTGTGAGATCTGACAGGCATCTGCAATGTAGTCAGTCTGGAATATGGCCATTGTTTTTGTAAAGTGCATTTTATATGCAAGGGAGACTCAATGGCCTCTTTCAATCTAACCTTGTGCCAATCTTGAACTTTAACCTCGATCAACTCCCTGTTAGCTTTTTGGTTCCCGATTTATAATTATATATATTTTGAATGATTAGCGTGGTTATTAGAAGGAGCCCTTGCAGCCCTTGTTTTTGGGGTGTGAAAGATCAGTGGAGCTCATCAGATCTCCCCTGTGACTTTCTCAACAATCTGTGCCGACGACATTCTTGTACACTGTGGGCCATCTGCCACCTTTGCTCTCCTTTTTTGTCTCTCTCTCTCTGTCGATACATTCTATTTCAGCGGGAAATGTGTTTTATTTTTTCTGATTTATTTTCTTAAATCGTATTTGCTGAATCAAGTTTATTACAAACAATAAAACAGTATTTCTAATAATTTTTTCTTCTGTTGGCTGTTTATTTTTAGCTCTAATATAAAGGTGCAATGTGTGAAATATGGCAGAAAAGGTATACGGTTATTGGGTTGACACAAACAAGCAATCCTAGTTCAGAATTTGAAATTCACATGACCATTTCCAGGTCAACTTGCCAGATTGGAATTCCATTGCTGTGACATCATAAAGAGCATGCATTGTTCTGGAATGTCAATCATTCAGTGAAACTCCATTGTTGAAAACCTTGAGACAACAACAAAACAGCCATATGGCCTACTGTTAGTCATGGGAAGTACTTCTGCCCAGGGCAGCAATACCAACATGAAGATGATGAAGAAGGCATCTTCAGAGGCCTGGTATGTGCATGGAGTGATGAGATGTCTGTCTAGCCATTTACATTTAGGATCATCATTTTGTAAATGTTTATCACATTTGTGTCTGCATAAACAACTTTGCTTCCAGGTCCCCTACTGATGGAGACAAGCACAAACAAAATGGACCACAGGTATAGTGTAAAGACCTCTTGTGCATTACAGACCCTTCTACTGTATTCTTCTTGGTCTGATTGTCTGTCAGGTTGTGAGATGTAAAAGATGTAGTACTGTTATCCCCTCTGTCCCGTCCCTTGTGTTGTGTAGCTGACTGCTGGCTGCGGGTGCACCAAGAGTGGCTCCCCAGAGGAGGGGGAGAAGAGGAACCAGGGACGTGTGGAGGACCAGATCAACGAGGAGCACCTTCAACGCATTGAGGCCATGTTCCATGAGGCAGACACCGACGGGGGGGGAGGTACATAGATTTCGTGCCTCTCATCCACAGCCCATCCTCTCCCATTGATCCAGTTCTGATAGAGACGTCCACTAGCTGGATGTCTCTATCTCTGTCTATATGCGGTAGCAATTAGCCTGGAGACAAGGGTACCGTTCTAATGTCTCGCACACCTCATGAAAGCCTCTTGACTCTATAGCAGTGCCATCTCTGTGCTCATTTTCAACACCGTCTGAAGACGTGGCATGATCAGAAATACAACCATGGATCAACACTATATTCTAATGAGCCTCTTTTCTCCTGTCTTCCTCTGAAAGGATTGGATATGGAAGAGTTTCGTGAGGCGATCAAAAAGATCATGGGTGACATTGATGATGAAGATGTGGACATTATCTTCATGAAGGTGGACACCAACTGTGACGGTGGTGTGGACTGGGTGGGTGTCTGTCTGTCTGGCCAAGCTGGTAGTTTTGAGGACAGTAGACAAAGGCTTTTTATGTTTATTTTATTGCTCAGGGGTTAATGGGTACACGATGGGGAGTAATTGGGATTAGGGGGATAAAAAGAGTCATTCCATCCTTCCTTAGGCTTTTTACATGCTTGAGTGGGTGTGTCCCAAAGAGCGCCACGCGTCTCTCACAGACAGTAAGCCCCCTCTGACTCAAACCCCCAGCTGGCCATCCCAAACCATTTTTTATGATGATCCCTCCCCTGTTACTAGACAGAGGGTCAGACCAGGGATGTCTGTGTGCTGAGACACAGAGGTTGACTGTGGTGGAAATCTCCTATCCGGAATGCCTGAAGTATGAACAACACACACACTGATACAGGCCAGACTTCTACTAGACAAAACTGAAATGCAACATCCACAGGGGGCAGACCACTCCAGAGGGAGAAAGGACTTATTTGAATAACACATGATCTCATTGTTTTTGTTTCAAATGGAGTTGTGTATGATTCTTCATTTCTCACCGATGGTTTTACTATATTTTCTCCCTATATGTATACATCCACAGGCATCTTGCTCATGAAACCCATGGATCATTAGACTTTTTGGCAAACCTCTATGCTCACAAGCAGCAAGCAACATTTATAACTCTACTTTTCTCCACGTACATGTTGGCTGCATCCAAAATGAAGGCGAAAGAAATGCACCCCTGCTCAGAAGAGGTGCTGGCTAGCGGAGTAGAACACTTGAAAAAGAAAAGCGGAGCCGCACATTCAACGTAGAGTTTGATCTGAAGCCATTCTTGTGATTATTCTGTTTTTGCTATCCAGTATAAATAATATTTGTAGGCTTATGTAGCCAATTTGTATTTATAATCGCACGTTATCCATTCATGACTTTTATGTCTATTTACATCTGTAAATCAACCAATGAAATCAGGCCACAGCCAGCTATGATTACAGACACCTGTGTGTCCCCTTTCAAAATATATAAACTAGTGACCTGCAGTGTTTGTCATTATACTCTGATGAAGACAGCTTTGCTGTCGAAACGTTGGTTATAAAATGATTGCATCTTTCTTTTTCATGCATCCAAAATGACACACTATTCCCTACTCTCTATATCGCACGTGGGAAATAGAGTGCCATTTCTGATTCGCCCTTGGACATACAGTAGCTCATGATGTGTGCCTGCCTGTCTGCCTGTAGGATGAGTATCTAAACTACATGCTGCTGGAGTACAGAGAGAAGGACTCCCTACAGAAGCAGAACCGTCCCCTCTACTTCCCCAAACCTCTAAAGATCGTCCCTGTGTAAGTGCTCTATCACTTGGGTCCTATTCATTACGGCACACTGTAGCAAAATGGTTTGCAATGGAAAACAAAAACAAGCATTTCTTATTGGACAAGTCCAAGCAGTCCCTCTGTTTCAGTCCATGATTTCAACCCTGGGTTAGGTGTGTTGTCATGGTACGGTGCCATGCCTGGGAGACCGGAGAAAGATTGGATGCTATTGCTGTATGTGAGACAAAAGAGAGATGGCTTTCAGATAGACATGGATGGTTCCCATTATGGTTGGCTATAACATGATGGCTAGGACAACTACTCCCCATTGTATGTATGTGGAAAGTGTGAAAGAGATTATTTGCATCTAACAGCGCCTTTGTAGTTTCACATGTAAATTATTCAAAGGGTCCAAGGATTTTGGCCATGAATCTCCCAAGTACTTTCTAACCCCCACTTATTACACCCACTGCCTTTGCATTCTTCTATTCTCTCTCTCTCTCTGTCTGTGTGGGGTTGCGTGTGTGTGTGTCTGGTGTGGGCATGCAGGCATCCCCCTGTCTGTGTCAGTGACTCATGTCTGTGGATGACACAGCACTGCTACTCTCCTTACTCACGGTGTAATGGCAGTAGATCATTCAGTGTATCTGTCTGAGATCACCGGCATCCAGTCCTCCTGGGGTCTATTTTCTGACTATAGGAGACATGGATACAGGCAGTCTATAAATATTAACAGAGAATGGCTAAGATAATGTAATTTAATGGAATCGTTGGAGAATAGGTCTTTAGAAATATTGCAGCTTGCCACATTTTCTCATGTACGGTATTTGACAAACAAAATACTCTAAATCCTAAATGTCCAACACAATCCACACACAGGTTTTGTTCTTTGACTGATGTCTTGGTGGTTTGTGAGGTCTGTGTGGTTTCTCTGTCTGGTTCTCTGCAGTGCCCACTGTGAGCCCATCGTCCGGCTACAGTTTTACCCCTTCCAGACCCCCCAGGCAGAGAAGAACGGGGGGCAGGGCAGGGCCGTGCCCAAAACCCGCGTCCAATTGGGACGCTACTTGTCCATCAGCCGAGACGGTATCCTCAACTACTGGAGCGAGAGGTTCAAACTGACACGCACTGTCAACGTGAGTGTGTGTGCCTTTGTGTGCACGCGACTGTGTGTGTGCAAGTGCGAATTTATGTGTGTGCGTGCACTTAAAACACCAGAGCACTTCCCTTCAGAGGTTAGACTTAGGAGAGAGGAATTCAGTGCATTGCATGGTAGGATGAAAATATTAACTGAGTCAATGCTGCTCTTCCATAGAGAAGGATGGATGTCCTGTCACCACCACAATGACTCATCCATGGAAATAAAGTAGACACCTGCCATAGCAATAAATCAGACAGGTGTAGTTCAGCTCCACGGGGACAGGGGGCGCCACACATCACCTGCCTGATTGGGCGGGCCACTGTCGACACAGTTGTCAGGCGGATTGCCTCGAGTCTCTCCATGGGCTCTCAGTTTTAATACCTCTGTGCTTCTGTAAAGCCTGACCAAGATTATCAACATCTCATATCTCAATATCTCTAAAACCTCTGAAACTCATTGGATGCTATCTCAGTAATGTGATCTAGAAGACCTATGCGCCAGGCAGGTGTCTTACTTAAACCTTATTAAATGGGATTAGTGGTCTATATACACAAGAGTATACAAAATATTAAGAACACCTGCTCTTTCCATGACATAGATTATCCAGGTGAAGGCTATGATCCCTTATTGATGTCACTTGTTAAATCGACTTCAATCAGTGTAGATGAAGGGGAGGAGTCGGATTAAAGAAGGATTTTTAAGCCTTGAGACAATTGAGACATGGATTGTGTATGTGTGCCATTGAGGGTGAATGGGCAAAACAAAATATTTAACTGCCTTTGAACGGGGTATGGTAGTTGGAAGTCGGAAGTTTACATACATCTTAGCCAAATACATTTAAACTCAGTTTTTCACAATCCCTGACATTTGATTCTAGTAAAAATTCCCTGTCTTAGGTAAGTTAGGATCGCCACTTTATTTTAAGAACGTGGAATGTCAGAATAATAGTAGAGATAATTATTTATTTCAGCTTTTATTTATTTCAATCACATTCCCAGTGGGTCAGACGTTTACATACACTCAATTAGTATTTGGTAACATTGCCTTTAAATTGTTTAACTTGGGTCAAACGTTTCGGGTAGCCTTCCACAAGCTTCCCACAATAAGTTGGGTGAATTTTGGCCCATTCCTCCTGACAGAGCAGGTGTAACTGAGTCAGGTTTGTAGGCCTCCTTGCTCGCACACGCTTTTTCAGTTCTGCCCACACATTTTCTATAGGCTTGAGGTTAGGGCTTTGTGATGGCCACTCCAATAACTTGACTTTGTTGTCCTTAAGCCATTTTGCCACAACTTTGGAAGTATGCTTGGGGTCATTGTCCATTTGGAAGACCCATTTGCGACCAAGCTTTAACTTCCTGACTGATGTCTTGAGATGTTGCTTCAATATATCCACATAATTTTCCTTCCTCATGATGCCATCTATTTTGTGAAGTGCACCAGTCCCTCCTGCAGCAAAGCACCCCCACAGCATGATGCTGCCACCCCCGTGCTTCACGGTTGGGCTGGTGTTCTTCGGCTTGCAAGTGCCCCCTTTTTCCTCCAAACATAACGATGGTCATTATGGCCAAACAGTTATATTTTTGTTTCATCAGACCAGAGGACATTTCTCCAAAAAGTACGATCTTTGTCCCCATGTGCAGTTGCAAACCGTAGTCTGGCTTTTTTATGGCGGTTTTGGAGCAGTGGCTTCTTCCTTGCTGAGCGGCCTTTCAGGTTATGTCGATATAGGACTCGTTTTACTGTGGATATAGATACTTTTGTACCTGTTTCCTCCAGCATCTTCACAAGGTCCTTTGCTGTTGTTCTGGGATTGATTTGCACTTTTCGCACCAAAGTACGTTAATCTCTAGGAGACAAAACACGTCTCCTTCCTGAGCGGTACGATGGCTGCGTGGTCCCATGGTGTTTATACTTGCGTACAATTGTTTGTACAGATGCACGTGGTACCTTCAGGCGTTTGGAAATTGCTCCCAAGGATGAACCAGACTTGTGGAGGTCTACAATTTGTTTTGATTTTCCCATGATGCCTAACAGGTCCTCAACTAGCAGCTTGATTAAATAGTACCCACAAAACACCAGTCTCAACGTCAACAGTGAAGAGGCGACTCCGGGATGCTGACCTTCTAGGCAGAGTTGCAAAGAAAAAGCCATATCTCAGCCTGGCCAATAAAAATAAAAGATGGGCAGCCTTAGATATGGCTTTTTCTTTGCAACTTATTAGGATTTAGTTAATTTGTGGAATTTCTTTCCTTCTTAATGCATTTGAGCTAATCAGTTGTGTTGTGACAAGGTAGGGGTGGTATACAGAAGATAGCCCTATTTGGTAAAATACCAAGTCCATATTATGGCAAGAACAGCTCAAATAAGCAAAGAGAAACGACAGTCCAACATTACTTTAAGACATGAAGGTCAGTCAATCCGGAAAATGTTTCTTCAAGTGCAGTCGCAAAAACCATCAAGCGCTATGATGAAACTGGCTCTCACGAGGACTGCCACAGGAAAGGAAGTTAATTAGAGTTAACTGCACCTCAGATTGCAGCCCAAGTAAATGCTTCACAGAGTTCAAGTAACAGACACATCTCAACGTCAACTGTGTCCCAAATCATAATGAGTTAATTGTTACATGATTAATTGAATTGAGTAACAATTAAACATAGTTAGTTGATTCGATAAATAACAGTCATCATATTAATGAGAGTCACGTCACGACACAGCCAACAAGTGCTCAGCATATGTGGGAACTCCTTCAAGACTGTTGGAAAAGCGTTCCTCATTAAGCTGGATGAGATAATGCCAAGAGTGTGCAAAGCTGTCATCAAGGCAAAGGGTGGCTACTTTGAAGAATCTCAGCTATAAACAATATTTTGATTTGTGTAACACTTTTTTGGTTACTACATGATTCTATATGTGTTATTTCATAGCTTTGATGTCTTCACTATTATTCTACAATGTAGAAAATAGTAAAAATAAAGAAAAACCCTTGAATGAGTAGGTGTGTCCAAACTTTTGAATTATACTGAATATATGTATGTATGTGTGGTTCTAGGGGTCTACTGACCTTTGACCTTCCTCCTCTGTCTGTCCTCCATCAGTTGGACCAGCTGAAACGAGCCCCACCCTCCACCTCCATTCAGCAAATCTGGGTAACCGACATGATCTGCTTGAGCAACCTTAACCTCCTGGCTATTTCCTCCACCGGACGAGACGTTGGTGTGTGTATGCATGTGTGGAGCCTGCAGCAAGTGTGTGTTTTGAAGTGTGTCTGTAAGAATTGTATGTAACCCTGAATAAAACCATGAACCAAATCAGACCAGATTTGGTAGTAGCAATTTAACATCCCTTGCTTTCACTTTGAATAGCTTTAGACATTATTTTACGTGTTTCTCTGTGTTTTTATGCCTGTCTGTGTGTTAGAGTTCTATGACATCAGCGCCAGCAAGTGTGACATTGTATTCTCTCTGACTGGACTGGAGGGCTACGTGGTCGTCATGGATTACTGGTAGGGCATTGGCTAGTGCATTAGATTACCAGGCATTAGCTAGTCTAGTGAATCATGTTACTGATAGGGCATTGGCTAGGACTTTAAATTACTGGTATGGTATTGGCTATAGGGCATAACACATATTTAGATAAAACATCAGATCAGTCGAAGGGAGGATCTGTTAATGATAACAATGCATTTTGTTGTGTAAGGCTCATTTCCCACACTGTCTGTCTGTCTGTCCAGGTCAGATGGAACCAAAGCAGTGTTTTCGATAGGGGACATTGAGGGTTATGTGTCTGTCTTCATCTCCAGTGATGTGCTCCAGTATGGGCTGTTCAACAGCGGGGCCTTCAAGTCTGGTACTAACCCTCCCTTCAATGTACATGATCAAACCCTTCCCTTCACCTTATGATGGTTCTCAGCTAGTTGGTTGGTGGATGGTTACCCTCTCTCTCTCTCTCTCTGTCTCAGGGGGGAATTGCCGCATCCCTGTCCCAGCTCTGCTGAAGAACACCTCCAAGTATTTTCTGTGTTTCAAAGTGGTAAGTAGTGCTTTCAAAAAGGCAATTATTCTGGTCAGTCTAAGAGCAGGTATCTGTGCCTGGTTTTGTTACAGCCCAGCAGTAACACTTGATTCAAATATTCAACTAATCAAGGTCTTCACTTTACAATTAGCTAAATTAGGGTCTGTTACTGCAGGTTTGGAAGAAGGCCTACCCACCAGTAGATCTTTAGGACTGGAGTAAAGATTTAGGTGGACAGTGACCCTCTATACTGCTCCACAGAGTCTAGCAGAGATGTTGTAAAGGATTTAATGAAAACAACGTTAATGATAAGGTCTCTATTTTTATAATTGTCAACACAGTTTTACATCTCCTTTGTGAGCGAAACCATTTTGGGCTCTTTGTTCGCCTGTTGGAGAGGAAGGAAAAAGAATAGAGGTGACAAAAGAAGGGGATGACAACAGCATTGTGAGAGATGGAGAGGAGGATGGGGTGAAGGAGAGAGAGTTTCTCTACCTCGGTGATGGATCAGTCTCTGTCTCAAAGGGACTGTCCCATTACCCATCTGTGACCTTGAGGATGTATCCTGTATCACTGACTAATATATACTAATCAGGTCGAAGATGATAGTCTGCCTGTCAGGAGGGAGCCCTGGGCCGGAAGATGGACTGATTGACTGCAGTAGACCACATGCACCTTCATTTCCCTCTCAGCAGCCTTTATTACACTACTCTATTGCCTATTTATTACGTTGGTCTTGATTTCTTATTTCTTTCTCCTTTTTTCAGTATCCCACTCATGTTGTAGTTTTTTTCACATTATTACGGTATCTCTTCTTATCATGCCTCTGTGCCGCTCCCCCCCCCCCCCCCCCCCCCCCCCCCCCCCCCCGCCTCCCAGGCCCTGCACAATAACTGGTGCCATCAGATCCGCTTCCTACCTGAGTTAAACGCTGTCGCCACCTGCTGTGCCTCTGACCAAACTTCCATGGTGCTCACCACTGTGCCCCACTCTCAGAAGGCTAAAATCCAGTATGTTCCCCCTGCCCTGCCATGTACACATAGTGGTCCAGGAACTCTCTATTTTACCTTATTCCACTCACACATCTCTGTATCTCCATAGACCGTACAGAGGAACAGGGCCCATATTCACAAAGTGTTTTTGAGTGCTGATCTAGGACCAGGTGCCCTTTAAAAGTCCTACTTTAAGACACTGAATAATTGCCCTGATTGTTACAGTAGCATTTTGTCCATTTTCACTAAAGTACTAAATGTTTAGATAGTACGTTTAGGAATACAATTAGTTTCCAAAAGTGACTGTATGCTTTCTCCTCCATCACAGCAACTCATGCTTTCAGCTGAGGAAAGGAATCCTCTGCTTTGACTACTCTCCCGAGTTTAACATTCTGGGTAAGAGATTGATTAGGATGAATCCTCTTTCACAAAAGTGTAATAATAAGGCAATTTGCAATTGGGTGATGTTCGTGCAAAAATATCAGCAGTTTTCTTTCACCTCCTGCACATTTTTACCATCATATCTTTACTTTGTGTGTGTAAATAAATTAATAACAAAGTTAAAAGAAGGGTTGTGTTTTGAATGTAAATGAATCCCTGTCATAGTGACTGGAGGCTTTGACCGCATTGTGAGGATCTGGAACCCGTACGTGAACAACTGTGCCACCTCTCAGATGAAGGGCCACTCCACAGCCATCACACACATCGTGGTCAACAGCAGCGACAACAAGATCATTAGCATCTCCAAGGACAAGGTCTGTCTGGGGACAAACCTGATCTACGGTCTCTGGTTACTCAGTCATCAGAATTACTTGAAATCATGTTATGAGAAATGTGATGAGCAAGAACTGCCATGCATGAATGGAAGAGAATCACTTTGCTTGATTTCACGCATATGATCACACAATATATGCTTTCTTTCCTGTCTCTCTCTCTCTCTCTCGCTCTGTCTCTCTCTGTGTCTCTCTCTTTGTCTCTCTCTCTCTCTGTGTGTCTCTCTCTCTGTGTCTCTCTCTGTGTCTCTCTCTCTCTCTCTCTCTCTCTCTCCTCTCTCTCTCTCTCTCTCTCTCTCTCTGTGTCTCTCGTCTCAGAATGTGCGTGTGTGGGACCTGCAGGACTGTGCCTGTCTCCAGAACATCCACTCCAGGAATGTGACCATGAGTCGCTTCCCAATCTCCAGTTTCCACTACAACAGAGACACCAACACCCTGGTGCTGGCCACCTTCCTGGTAGGCTCCCCATCTTGTTCATTCACATACTGTAGGACACATAAAAGGGGACTGATTGAGTAATCAAGGCCCTAGGGAGATTAGCGGTGGCTAAGTGGTCTGCTAATGGGCATCGAGGAAGCCATGCAAATGCAATTTATCATCTCACACAAACATGTGAAAACTACTCTTGCATCAACAGCTATGTTTTTTTTGCCTATTATAACGGCAATCTTTGTGTGCAGATAGGGGTTCTACATGGAGTGGTGGATGATGTGGATACACTTCACAAGCTACAGACATCACATGAGCAGCCCCTGTGTACAGCTCTCTATAACACCAACTTCAAACAGGTGTGTTGTTGGGTATACTCTAAAACACCAGGTGGATGGATGAAAGAATGAATGAACGAACAAACGCCTCGTTCAACACAAGGTGAGGAAAAAGAAAGAAAACAAACATTCTGTCCCATTTGAACCTCAATATGCCTTCCTTCCTTCCCTCTGTCCCAGGTAGTGAGTGGCTGTCATAACGGCGTGGTGAGCGTGTGGGAAATCCTGACGGGGGAGAAGATCATGCAGTTCCAGACGTCCCCGGAGAAGGCGGTGGAGGTGACGGCCATGACATTCGACGGGCCCAAGCGCCGCCTCATCACGGGGTCCAAGGACGGCACCCTGCGCCTGTGGAACTTCAACAACGGAGCGCTGCTAGCTACACTCCCCATACTGAATGATAACGAGGTAGAAGTTACCCCTAACTACAGATCAGGGATCAGTATATAGCCTACCTTCATTCAGCCTTATCCAATAGGGGGATAAGAAACTCTGACCCTGATCTTTTTCCAGGTGACGGGGGTAATCTACATCAACCAAAGGATATATGTGTCCGGCTGGAGCAAAAGGGTCATGTGGTACTTGTGAGTACACCTCCCATCAAAACCCCATTTGTCTGCAGGGTTAAATACTGAGCAATGTGACATCATCATACACAGCGGAACGACTTCATGCTTGACGATGTTGTAATGCTGAGTGTACCTTTAAGGCTCCTTTGATGGAGAGTGTGTTTTTTTTAAATATTTTTTTATTTTTTTGGGGGGGGATGGATCAGCTTAATATTGCAGATAGATTGTATCTTCTATCAATGTAATTGTCTGCATCACTTCCAATCCCCCATGTTTTTTATATATATACTCCCCTTTATTACTTTTCAACCCCGCCATCCTTTCCCTACTTGGAGTTAATTAGTGAACAACAATGCCCAGGCCTCTACTTCCGGTCTATACTTACTATCTACACCTTATGGACACAGTTAATTTTACAATAATTATATTATATATATATATTTTTTTTTTGCTCCTGAACTACTACATGGGAGAAGTATATTGTCACGATAATTTATATCTCTGATTAATCAAACTTAATGCTCTGAATAATTCCCAGAGGGTGTAAATTCTCTGGTTTAATCATGAATTAAACAAAGGTCCGCAACCAGCAAGAATGATCTGTATTTTTAATCATGGAGAGCTCTGGCGCCAAAAAATACATACACAGCCTTTATACCCCCTGACACACAAAGGCACTTTGCTCCGCCCACCTTTAAACAGCTTCTCAGTCCCCTTCACCCTTGTCACGCTCTGGCTCCGGGACTTTGTATTTTGAGCCAGGGTGTGTTCGTTTTGGTTTTGTGTTTCCCTTATTTGGTCAAATGACTCCCAATCGGAGGTAACGAGTGTCAGCTGTCGGCTCGTTATCTCTGATTGGGAGCCATATTTAAACTGTCTGTGTTCACCTTGTGTTGGTGGGATTTTGTTCGTGTGGTTTCGTGTTGTACCATTAGACGTCACGTTTTCGTTGTTTATTGTTTTGTTCGTGTGAACGTTTAAATAAATAGTAATATGTTCGCTCGCAACGCTGCGCCTTGGTCCTTTTTAGATGACGACTATGACAGAAAATCCCACCAAGACCAGACCAAGCAGCGTGTCCAAGGGCCATCGCCAAATGATCTCCGTGGCAGCTTCGACTGGGTCAAGCCCATTGAGGAGTTGAGTGAGGAGGGTTGGAGACAGAGGAGCGAGAGGTGGGAGAGAATGTTGGAGGCCTGGAGAGACCCCCAGACATTTTTTAGGGGGGGGCTCACGACGTCGGGGCAGCAGGAGGCCGCTATGGAGCGGTCCAGCGGGGTTGCAGAAGAGGCCGCCAGGTTACGGGGGCCACTGGTAGAAGAGGGGATGGTAGGTGTAGAGGCACGGCGAGAGGTACTGGCGGGTGTTGCCAGTCCGGTCCGGCCCGTTCCAGATCCCGGTGTAGAGCCAGTGGTGTGTGTCCCCAGTACGGTCCGGTCTATTCCTGCTCCCCGCACCAAACCTACGGTGTGCGTCGACAGCCCAGCCCGGCCCGTTCCTGCGCTCCGCACCGAGTCTGTGGTGCGCGTCGCCAGCCCAGCCCGGCCCGTTCCTGCGCTCCGCACCGAGTCTGAGGTGCGCTTCGCCAGCCCAGCCCGGCTTCTTCCTGCTCCACGCACAAAGCCCACGGTGTGCGTCGCCAGCCCGACCCGGCCTGTTCCTGCTACTCGCACCAAACCAGGGGTGCGAGTCGCCAGCCTGGTTCAAACCCGTTCCTGCTACTCGCACCAAGCCAGGGGTGCGAGTCGTCAGCCTGGTCCAGCCCGTTCCTGCTACTCGCACCAAACCAGGGATGCGAGTCGTCGGCCTGGTCCAGCCCGTTCCTGCTACTCGCACCAAGCCAAGGGGGCGAGTCGTCAGCCTGGTCTGGCCTGTTCCTGCTACTCGCACCAAGCCAAGGGTGTGAGTCGTCAGCCCGGTCCAGCCCATTCCTGCTACTCGCACCAAGCCAGGGATGCGAGTCGTCAGCCTGGTGAGGTCCGTTCCGGCTCCACGCACCAAGCCTAGGGTGCGTATCGTCAGCCAGGTCCGGTCCGTTCCTGCCTCACGCGCTAAGCCAGGGATGCGCGTCGTCAGTCCTGATCCAGCCAGCTGGGTCAGATCGGATCGGGGCCATTATGCGGGGATTGAAGTAGGGTGGTGGTCAAGCCCGGAGCCGGAGCCGCCTCCGAGGAGCAACACCCACCCAGCCCTCCCCTATTTTGGGGTTTTGAGGCGCGGTCGCAGTCCGCGCCTTTAGGGGGGGGTACTGTCACACTCTGGCTCCGGGACTTTGTATTTTGAGCCAGGGTGTGTTCGTTTTGGTTTTGTGTTTCCCTTATTTGGTCAAATGACTCCCAATCGGAGGTAACGAGTGTCAGCTGTCGGCTCGTTATCTCTGATTGGGAGCCATATTTAAACTGTCTGTGTTCACCTTGTGTTGGTGGGATTTTGTTCGTGTGGTTTCATGTTGTACCATAGACGTCACGTTTTCGTTGTTTTGTTCGTGTGTACGTTTAAATAATAAATATGTTCGCTCGTAACGCTGCGCCTTGGTCCTCTCTCATCGACGAACGTGACAACCCTGGAATGCTTTCTCAGCAGTTTCTAACTCCTCCCCCTCTGTTAGTGGGTTGACACTACATTATAACTCTAACACCATTCACACATGTATACTGTATTTGGGGTGAAATCCTTTAGTAATTATTCTTAAAATACAAATTAATCTATCAATCCACCCCTTTGACTAAATGTTTTCACATTCAGGATAAATGTATTTACAAGCATGATTAATCTCAGAGATTATGTCAGAACTAATAAACATTTCATCCAATTGCGGTCTTTCAGGGTCAAAATCCTCGTCATCCACCAAGCCTGGAGGATCGTTTTTCACATTCCCCTGGTCAGAGTCCGGAGTCGGTCCATCTCTCATCATTGTTGAGATACTGCATTTCACCAACGCCTTACTCACCAATCCTCGGACACAGGGAACAAGACAACAACCACATAATACAAGAATACCCATACAAACACTGACCGCCCCTAAGATGGTGGCTGCTATGGTTTTCAAACATTTCATCAAACCACCCTATCCACGATGTACTAACTTCTGAGTTCTCAGCTCATTCTTCACTTAGTGCAGTTAATTCTGCAAGAGCTCTGGTGACTGTCCCATCCAGTGTGGTGTTGTTAGGGATAAATGTGCAACAATGGCTTATCATTCTATAGACACCGGCCCTTTCTGCCTGATCTAGAGCCAACCTCTTTTACTAAGTCATGAGTGGGATGGCGGATAATTTCAGAGATCCCTTTTACTGCATCCCTAGTCCCGCCAATAAATCGTTGTTGGTTGTAATAGATACAGTGGGGAAAAAAAGTATTTAGTCAGCCACCAATTGTGCAAGTTCTCCCACTTAAAAAGATGAGAGAGGCCTGTAATTTTCATCATAGGTACATGTCAACTGTGACAGACAAAATGAGAATTTTTTTCTCCAGAAAATCACATTGTAGGATTTTTTATGAATTTATTTGTAAATTATGGTGGAAAATAAGTATTTGGTCAATAACAAAAGTTTCTCAATACTTTGTTATATACCCTTTGTTGGCAATGACACAGGTCAAACGTTTTCTGTAAGTCTTCACAAGGTTTTCACACACTGTTGCTGGTATTTTGGCCCATTCCTCCATGCAGATCTCCTCTAGAGCAGTGATGTTTTGGGGCTGTCGCTGGGCAACACGGACTTTCAACTCCCTCCAAAGATTTTCTATGGGGTTGAGATCTGGAGACTGGCTAGGCCACTCCAGGACCTTGGAATGCTTCTTACGAAGCCACTCCTTCGTTGCCCGGGCGGTGTGTTTGGGATCATTGTCATGCTGAAAGACCCAGCAACGTTTCATCTTCAATGCCCTTGCTGATGGAAGGAGGTTTTCACTCAAAATCTCACGATACATGGCCCCATTCATTCTTTCCTTTACACGGATCAGTCGTCCTGGTCCCTTTGCAGAAAAACAAAGCATGATGTTTCCACCCCCATGCGTCACAGTAGGTATGGTGTTCTTTGGATGCAACTCAGCATTCTTTGTCCTCCAAACACGACGAGTTGAGTTTTTACCAAAAAGTTATATTTTGGTTTCATCTGACCATATGACATTCTCCCAATCCTCTTCTGGATCATCCAAATGCACTCTAGCAAACTTCAGACGGGCCTGGACATGTACTGGCTTAAGCAGGGGGACACGTCTGGCACTGCAGGATTTGAGTCCCTGGCGGCGTAGTGTGTTACTGATGGTAGGCTTTGTTACTTTGATCCCAGCTCTCTGCAGGTCATTCACTACGTCCCCCCGTGTGGTTCTGGGATTTTTGCTCACTGTTCTTGTGATCATTTTGACCCCACGGGGTGAGATCTTGCGTGGAGCCCCAGATCGAGGGAGGTTATCAGTGGTCTTGTATGTCTTCCATTTCCTAATAATTGCTCCCACAGTTGATTTCTTCAAACCAAGCTGCTTACCTATTGCAGATTCAGTCTTCCCAGCCTGATGCAGGTCTACAATTTTGTTTCTGGTGTCCTTTGACAGCTCTTTGGTCTTGGCCATAGTGGAGTTTGGAGTGTGACTTTTTGAGGTTGTGGACAGGTGTCTTTTATACTGATAACAAGTTCAAACAGGTGCCATTAATACAGGTAACGAGTGGAGGACAGAGGAGCCTCTTAAAGAAGAAGTTACAGGTCTGTGAGAGCCAGAAATCTTGCTTGTTTGTAGGTGACCAAATACTTATTTTCCACCATAATTTGCAAATAAATTCATTAAAAATCCTACAATGTGATTTTCTGGATTTTTTTCCCTCAATTTGTCTGTCATAGTTGACGTGTACCTATGATGAAAATTACAGGCCTCTCTCATCTTTTTAAGTGGGAGAACTTGCACAATTGGTGGCTGACTAAATACTTTTTTCCCCCACTGTATAATTAATCCACTTCACAATTTTGTTTATTGTCACCCACCAAAAGAACGTGGTAGTAAACCCTTCCTCTAATTATTTCA